TAAAGGGACAAATTGATAACTTGGCTCAGTTTGTCATTTTCTAGACTGTTTGATGCAACTGTTACTGCTCATTGTACCATGTTAGGAAAAGTGACATAATTATTCTTACCAGTTTTTCTTCCTGGTATCCCAAGGCTGAGATGGTGTACACGTCATAAAAAATACTACAGGCCAGTGTTAAAGAATCAGGGACTGGGCCAAGTAGGAAGCAACTTCTCACCCTAATAAATTGAAGAGGCAGGATCTTGCAAAAGACTGAAAAGTCCAAAATCCATTTACGCCCAGAAGACACTTCTGAGTTCTCATTTCCTGAGGGTTCTTAATTCCAGCAATAAAGCTACCTACCATAAGCAATTTAGAAGCATCAAAACAAATTAAACTAGAAACAAAAATAGAAAATGAGAAGACACTTAAAAGTGCAACCCCAGACATTTAGCTTGCCAAAGGCAAACCCAGGTAACAATGAGGTGGAAGAGTTAAAAGAATCACCTGGACTATCTGCAGTGCTAACAGCACGATACTAAAGCATACCAATGAGGCTGTAGAAAAAAATCAGAAATAATGTAGATAACTACAGAAATGGTGACCATAATGAAAGCCATGTTAGTGACTAGAACAGGTACAAAAAGAAAAAGATTCTTAGAAAAATGATGGAGACTATGAATGTCCAACATGGAAATCTTTCATAAAACATTTCAACATCCATAAGTTCAAAATACCATAGAAAATGTATGAATCAGCCAGTAGGATGAGCCAACATGAGGACAAAATCTCAGATATAAAACAGGATTGTGTTTAGTGATCATGATAGATTTCTTTAACAGACCATGAAAAATCAATCCATCAAGTGCTAGACAATGAAAAAAAGAATATAGGAGTGATTGGAGTCAATGAAAAAGGAGATAGGGCAAGTCACATTAAAAATACCTGTTTACAGATGTCAGGGCAGAAAACTTCCCTGTCAGAGGAAAGAGTATGAAGTACAGGTAAGTGAGGCTTAGGTAATTCCAAGTAGCCATGATAAAAAAAAATGTATAGCACGGTATATCGTACTCGATTCAAGAAAACACAAAAAGATTATTAAAACTCTTAGAAAAAAGAAACACATCACCTATAAAGGAAAGCCCAGAAGAATAAAGGAGTCCACCAGGCAAGACAGACAAGGTGGGAGAGATTTTTTTAAAAAAGGGGGTTGGGAGTCAACAACAGGAAAGTCACATGACAAGCATAAGTCAATACATACTAGTTAAATCCTTGTCAGTGATCTCAATTTAGCAATCTCAGTACTGGCAAAATGGATCAAAAAATGATTCAACAATATACTGCATACAAGAAAAACATTTAATTCAAAAATAAATTCATACACTGAAAATTAAAGAATGGAAAACAATACTCCATGTGACAGCAGCTCAGAAAGCAGGGTTAGTAATTCTGTTTGCAGACAAAGTGAATTTCAAGCCAAGATTGATTAAGAAAAAGAAGGGCCGGTGAGCTAGCTCAGCAGTCTAAATTGCTGCTTAGGCAAGCATACAGGGACCGCGGTTCAATCCCTGGCACCACGTGCCATGCCAGCCCTGCCATCAGGGTGAACTGAGCCAGACACTGGGAAGAAAGGTCCTTGCAAGAGGAAGAAATAATCATAAATATGTATAACACAAATACCAGTGTACCCAGCTATATGAAACAAATATTAATGGGCATAAATAATCAAATAAGTGCTAATACAATTGTATTGGGTGATCTCAATACCCACTGTCACAAAAAGATCAACTGGACAAAAACTCAACAATAAAATAATGGAACTGAACCAAACTTTTGACCAAATGGACTTTTTTGATGTCCACAGACTGTTCCACCATACAAAATCAAAATACATATTCTTTTCAGCTGCAAATAGGACATTTTTGTAGACCACATACTAGCCCATATAACATGGAAAAGCAACTGAAATTATCCCATGCATATTATTAGACCATAGTGCAGTGGAATTGAAAATCAGTGACAAAAGAAACCACAAGAATGTCATAAATTAAATAGCACCCTCCAGAAAAACCAATGTGTTACAGATGGAAATAATAAAGTAGTTACTTTCTGCAATTAAAAGACAATGACAATGCAACATACTGGAACTTACGGGACACAATAAAACAGTGCTAAGAGGGAAATTTATAGAAGTAAAATACCTATATTAGGAAGAGAGAATAAGCACAAATTAAAAAAACAATTTTTTTAAATTTTTTTTTCGGAACTAGGGATTGAACTCAGGCCTTTGTGCTTGCCAGGCAAGTGCTTATTCTACTGAGCTATCTCCCTGGTCCCGTTTCCTTTTCTTTAAAATAACATTTTAGAAATAACACTTTGCAAACATATGGAAATAATTAAACATACAGATAAATGAAGAATAGAGAACCCCAAATAGCCAAAAAAGGGACAGAATCTTGAATTCTTTCAAGAAAGCAATGAACCACTTATAAATATCAACCCATTGGAATTATAGCAGACTTCTCAACACACACTGTAAAGATGGTGCCAGGGATATACCTCAGCAGCATGAGCACCTGTCTGTACAAGGTCCCAAGTTGGATCCCTAGTATCAAGCAAAAAAACAACGAAGGTCAGGAGAGCTTGGAGTGCAGGGTTTCAAGCTCTAAGAGACAATAAATCTGTTCTATACATATATGTGCTGTAAAATTCTTGTTCAAAATTGATGGAGAAATAAAATATTTCTTTAACAAAGAACATACGAAAAAAATTCATGACCAAACCAGTACTATGAAAAATTCTTAAGGATATCCTGACAATGCTGCAAAATCTTATAGGGTGAGTATTGGAGACCCCTGCAGTAGGTTGCAGTCTTCTGCCTGGGTGACAACACACAGTGGGAAAGGAAAGAACAAGAGACAAAAATATAAGGGTGTGTGGTAGGCATCTGGGATGATCAGTTGCTTTCTAGGAATAAAAGGTCAGGAGTCACCCAGAATGTTGGCATTTATTCATTTATCTGAGTCAAGACCAATGAGTAAACAGCAGGGGGGATTTCTGAAAACAGTAATGGTGACTACAGTGGGCTAGTAAGCACAAAGCATTCTTGCTAGCATTCTTTCAGGGAGAAGGGTAAGGATGAGATGGGGGACAATGAGAACTTTGGTTTCTCCACATGCCCATCATCTCTAGCAGATCTTGTCTTGCTCTCTGAGTGCCACAGCAGTCATTAGTCCTAGGGCTTCCAGTGGTCATCAGAAAAGATTTAGGAGGGCTTGCCAGATAGCCTAGCCAAGTAAAGCGCCTGCTTATGCAATGACAGGGACTGGGGTTCAATCCCCAGTGTGCCATGCCAGTCCTGACCCTGGGGCATGCTGAGACGGTGGCTGAGACTGGGTGTCGTGGTGCACACCTGTGGTCCCAGAACTTGGGAGGCTGAAAACAGGATAGAAATAGAAATCACTATTGAGTCTGAGCTGTGTAGTGAGACCCTGTAGACCCTGTACTAAAAACTAAGGGCAGAAAAAGAACAACTGTGATCATCCCCTAGACTCCATTTATAACTGCTGATCCCCAACAGAGTACACAGGCAGGGTGGGCAATGAATTAGAAAGTTGGTCAGAGAGAGGAAATCAGCAAGAGGAAAATAATGCAACTTATATAAGGGAGATGCTTGATGTCAAAGATGTCAAGTTCATGTTCCCAGAAGTTGAAGAGTTAATTCTAAGAAACAACTGATATGAATGGGAAAACTTACTGGAGAAAAGGAATGAGGATGAGGAATGAAATAGCTCTTGAGAGACAAGAGGGGTCTTGAGTGGATTGCCAACAAGCCCACATCTCAAGGCAAGTTTTATAGAGCAGAAGCATAAGGCAGGTATAACGGGGGTGAAAATTATGATCAATAAGTTTGCAAGTATAGTGGCTTAGGTAATATTGATCTAATGGTAGCAAACATACATAGATGACAATAACCTTGGTCAATAATCTATAGTTTTAGCCTTGATTTTAGTCTTAGCAGTCTTCATCTTAGTGGTCTTAGTCTTACTAGGTGGGAGAGGATACCCAGCCCCAGTGAGATAATAGGCAATCTCAAAAGGGGTGATGCCAGTAATCCCAAGCCTCTTCATCCCTTTGTATTAGGACTACCATTGTGGCTTAAATTTTCAGATGGGCCTCCAGCCACAGTCCTGATGCATTTGCATCTTCTGCACTGACTCCGAGGGCCTAGCTCTACAAGTAGCTAATAAATACATGAAAAATGTTCAAGATGGCTGATCAATAGAAAAATGCAGGTGAAGCAACACTGAGACTCCAACCTATTCCTGAAATAATTGCTTTCATCAAGAAAGTAAACAATAATAAATGCTGGGAAGGCCTTGGGGGAAATTGGAACCCTTCTTCATTGTTGGTGAGACTAAACGAATAAATGTTGTGTGTTCTTCAAAAATCTAAAAATAGCTATTTCTTTTGATTCCACTTTTTCCTTTCTCGGCATCTTGCTGAAAGAATTAAAGACATGATATTACAGTGATATGGGCATATCCAGTTTCATAGCAGCCCAATTCACAATAGATAAAACTTGGACACACCTTATATAAAGAATATGTGATATTTTTACACATAGGCGCATAGGACAGTGGTTGGATTCCCTGCTCCACAAGCCTCACCAGACCTGCCCTTAAGGTGGCTTGAACTAGCCAAAAAAAAAAAAAAAAAAAAAAAAAAACAAAAACTCAGTATGATTCTTTACTAATAATATCCTTCATGACCCTATTTTCAAACATAGTCACTTTTTTCTTTTTCTGCAGTGCTCAGACGCTAGGAATATGTGTATGTCAAGCGAGTGTATATACCACTGAACCACATCCTTGTCCTAACGATGGTGTCGGAAGAGAGAGTCTCACGTCCTGCGAACCGGCCCCACGAGGTGGCGCTGCCGGCGGAGGGCGCGAGTGCAAAAGAGGGCCCCGCGCGCGCTCTTGGCCAGGCGCTGGAGGAGGCGAGAGGCACGCTGAGTCCGGCCCGCTGGGTTTCCTGCTAGTGGCCGCCGCTCCGCTTTTGTCCGCCCCGTCCAGCTAGAGGTCCAGAGAGCCTTCCTGGGGCCTTGGCTGCGGCTCCGGGTGTGGAGGTCGTCACCCGCCCGCCTGCTGCAGGTTCGCGCTGTTCCGGAAGGAGGAGGGCCGCGCGCTGGCGGGCTGCTGCCGCCGCCACCGGACCGCAGCGCAGCGTGCGGGGCGCCTTCCCCGGGTGGTCCCGAGGCCTCGGGCGTGGCGTGGCCGGTCCTGCGGGGCGGGGCCTCTCCGTGCATCGCAGGGCTGGAGTTGGCGGCGGCTGTTTCCGTTCTGAGGACTTCAGCCTGAGGTTCCATTGCATTTAGCCCGAAAGGGTTGTGCGTTTAGTGCGGCAGATGTTTAGTAGACGTCAGGATGGGCAGTCATGTTCTCAAAGTTTGTGTGTGTGTGTGTGTGTGTGTGATTGTGTGATTGTGCTTCTCCGCTGTCGTTTTTGGTGGCAGCTCCATCGGTTACTTTCCCTAAGGGTGAGATTTTGAAAGCAAAAGAGTGCAGAGCCTCGCTCAAGTTGCCATCCAGACGAGGAGCCCCGTGGTGAGAGCGAGAATCAGCGCGGGCTGCTTCTTAGGTGCTGTGGGCCGCTTTGTTACAGTTGGGTGAGCCAAGATAGTCTAGGGTCTGTGTACCAAGAGAATGAATCGCCACACCTGGTAGTATGTAGTAAGTAGTTACTTTTGTTGACGATCACAGGACCTTTGCCTGCTGGAACAGGGAAAAGAGAAAAGGCAAAAAGGGCTCAGGTCCTTGATCTCTTGCTTCACGTAGAGGATCAGACACCCTGACTAGGTGGCGCCCCCTGCGCCTCTCATTGGTGTCAGTAATCTGCAGCCCCACGCATTGAGAACCCCTAAATTTTTGTTATTTTATTTTGTTCCTTTTTTAGGATAACAGGAGCATGGGTATCATTAAGGTAGTGTTAACAGCTGAATTGAGGGGAAAAAAACCCAACAGGTTAATTTAGCTTATTTGTTTCCAACTCTACTAGCCTGACCCCTCTAATTTATTTATTTTTACTTGTCCTGGGGTTGAAGACTGACCTGGTTGCTTGTGACTCTTAGTCTTTGCTGTAATGGAAGAAGTGAGTAAGATACCGGAAAAAAACTAGCAGATATGCAAAAGCTTTCTGAAGAATGTGGTGTATAAGTACAGTATTAATGAAAAACGTCTACTTGTGTGACTCTGTGGTGTTTTTCTTGGAATGACTGCCTTTTAACAGGTATATATAAGAATCAGTAAACTTAAGGAAAAACAAACTTAGAAAAGTACCATTAGAGCTTTTATATGTGGCAGGGACTGTAATCGCTACGCTTTGCAGGTTAAGGCAGGAGGATCACTGAGAGTTGGAGGCCGGTATGGGCTACATAGTGCATTTAAGGACAACCTGAAGTGGATAATAAGACCCTGTATCACAAGAAATGATGAGGAAAAACAAAAGGAACCTTTATATGGAAATGTTGCAAAAGAAATCAGAGCGACTGAAGGGAAAAGGAGAACTTTTTTCTAGGATTTTAGTTGCAGAAGGACACTGGAGGACTCATGTCCCAAGTGCTGGGCACTAACAGAGGAAAGATTTTAGTTTTATACTTTGGGCTGAGGGGATTGTCAGCGCTCTGGTTCCCATTCAGCCTTTTCATGAGTGGATTTAGCTTTTGTCTGCTGCTGTGCCTGTTTTCTCTTCCAGCTCAGCCATTGTTCCATGTTTTTATGTGTCTGATTTAGTAGTCTTTACAAAGCAGGCATGGTCGTAGCTTTATCTTAGTGATATGTTGAGATTTCTCTAGGGTTATCTGTCGTTTATGTGTGTGTTTCGTTTCTGTCAGTCATATCTCTGCCTTCTTGGTTTGTAGTTGCAGTTCCTCCAGTGTCTGTAGAACCATTGTTCAGTTGTCTCAGTGTTAGCCTTCATGCACAGGCCCATTTTATCTCTTCTTGACACCTGTGTTGGTTCTCCTGGCATTTGTCTCTACAGGTGCTGAGTTGCCTCTGTGGTTGTCAGTTTTGGGGTTTGGTGTCTGTACATGTAGATGGATCTTGGAGTTCATCTGTAGACCCACCACCTGGGCACTTAGTTCTCTGCAACGTTAGATGTACCATGTGGAGCTCCCTTTTTTTTTCCTTTAAACATATTTTTAATTCAGGGTCTCACTACACAGCTTGGACTCATAGTGATCCTCCTGTTTTCAGCCTCCCCAGCGCTTGGATTTCAGGTGTGCGCCACCATGCCTGGACTCAGTGACTGGCACAACATGCTGGGGGTGGGACCTGCGTGGCATGTGGTGCTAGAGATCAAACCCCAGTCTCTGCACTTGCCTAAGCAGGCGCTTAGAGCACTGACCTATCTTGCCAGCCCTGGATCTCCTTTTTGATGTGTACCTTGTTGTGCTCATTTGTCTTCCCCTCTGAACTGTGCTGCAAATGTTTAGCTCTTCTTTCTTTCCCATGAGCTTCCTCCTCTTGTATGTGCTGTTGTATTTGTGCCTTTAATTCCATTTGTACATTGGTTTGGGCATGTGCTTCTGTCACCCCTTTCAGTCGCTCTGTTTCTTTCATCTTTTGGTGAGACTGTGTTACCTTACCTTTGGAATGTTTTTGAGCCTCCTTGGCCTCTTGACTCACTTACCGAGTTGCCTCTGTCTCATCATGTAGTCATTCTAGCATGTTCTTTTGTTTTTTCCTTTGTGATCATTTCTCAGTAGCCTCTTGGGTCAGCTCCCTGTTGAGTGAATCTTGTTTGCTCTTGCAGTCCTTGGGCCTCTTTATTCTTGACCTTGAGTGATTCAGTTTTCTCCAAGGTAACTTTGTGCGGCTTGTGGCTTCAACCTCAGCTCCTTTGTGTATACTCTTTAGCCTTGGAGCATCACTTTTTCTGTGCTGCCAACTGTATCTGTCAAACATCCCCTGGTTTTGTCTGTTTCTTGTTGCACAGCGTGTTCTTGGGATTGTTGCACGTGTGTCCCAGCTTCAGTTTTTGTTTTTTCTTGTTGACATTTGCTTTCAGAAAGCTCACCTTCAGTGCAGGGATTGTTTTCATTCATTACCATTGCCTCTGGGGCTTTTCTCTCAGTCCCTTTTGTCACTTGAGTATTCTGCTTCTATGTCTTGTGCATCTTCAATGTCAACCTTGTGCTGTGTAGTCTTTTCCCTTTTTTTTTTTTTGTATTTTTAGGGAAGGGTCTACAGGGTGTTCAGAGTCTCACTACTAGATTGGACTCATAGTGATCCGCCTGTTTACAGCCTCCCAAGTGCTGGCATTACAGGCACAAGCCACCACGCCCAATCTCAGTTGCCCTCTCAGTTCGCCCCAAGGGCGGGGCTGGCACGGCAGGAATCCACTGAACTATTTGGCTGACCCTGTGTTGTCTTTTCTTATTTCTTGGCCGAAAGGTAATTTGGGCCTATAGGTTTGGAGTAGGTCCCTTTTTAGCAAGAAAGCTGGAACAGTTTGGAAGTTACAGGTATTTATATTTGACTTTTTCCCCCATAATTTTATTGAGAGATACATAGCAATGAGACAGTTTCAAATCAAATTGGTAGGATGATTTCAATAATTAACACATTGCATACTCTCTTCCTAGTGGTTATTTGCTGTACACGATGCAGACATGATATCCTATTTACAAACACTATAAGAACAAATCTCTCTATTCCTTGAATTAAGAGAATGTAGCTATATATCTATCCTAACCATTTTGAATACACAGATACAAAATGGACATTCATCTATATCCCCTTTTTTGTTTAGTTCTGTATATTTAACTTTTTTTATGTTCTACCTCTCAGAGGGACTCTGGGAGGTAGATTAGAGGGGACTCCAGTGACTCTTAACAATGCTCATATCATTTTTGGATAACATCTTAATGGGCTGTGTCACTCCCAAGTGTTCTGTCATCTACCAGAAAGTCTAAAAAAAAAAAAAGAAAGTCTAGTAACTGCCCCTTACTCTGATCATGACCAAAGGTGTCTAGGGAGATGGAGCCTAGTCCTGGTCAGCTGTGGTAACCTTTTAGTTTTGTCAGTCTTAATGAGGCCAGCATCTAGTTTTTTTCTTGCGGGGGTGATAGACTTTGCAGGCAACCTGATAGTTTTGGAATTTTTATCTTTTCTGTTTTCAGGTTTGGCATTTATTTTTCCAGTGTCTACATTTTCACATTGTGCACATTGATCCCAGTCTGATTCAGTTTGACTCTTGTTTTGTCACTGTCCTCTTTGCTTCTTAGTAATTTCTGTTTTGCTTTCCACTGTCAGTGCTGTGGTGAACAAATCTGTTTGTTTGTTTGTTTGTTTTTTTCTTAAGCCTCTTGTCAACTTTTTGTTTGGCCTCTTGGTCATGATTTGCATATACTTTGGTAATTATCTGTGCAACATGGGTGGCATTCATGCCAGCCAAGCCCTCCAGTTTTTGTCAGTAAGCATCTACACAGAGCTGAAGCTATGCGAGTCTAGTCTGAACTATATTTAGAAATGAGTCAATGTAGGGAAATATCCTGGTGTCCCAGTAGTCCTTTGCTCCTGGTTACCATTGTGTGTGTGTGTGTGTGTGTGTGTGTGTGTGTGTGTGTTTTGTATTCTCTATTTTTATTTTTTTGTCCGTTGGTCCTCCCACTTCTCCCTAGACTGTCTATGTGCCATCAACAGAGGGCCTTTCTATTATTTAAAGAATTATTAACTCCTAGAGGGTCCCAGCTTTATTTTATCATTTTTTATATTGCCTCTTTTAATAGCCAACATATGTTTTAATGGGGAGGGTTTTGGCACTTTTCATTGCATATCGGCTCTGTTGTGACACAAGTCACTTTCTTAAACATTTTTGTTTTATATTAATTTGATCATTTTCCTTGAAAGAGTTTTTCCTTTTTCTGTCCTTCTCAACTCAGTAATTCTTTCATTGTGGATATTCCTCAAAAAGCTAGACTTAAGAAGTCCCAATCAGTCCAGCTATTTGCCTTCTGGGTATTTTCCCAGATGAACTGAAAACATACCACAGTGATATATGTGCACCCATGTTTATAGCAGCACAATTTGTCATAGCTAAATCTTGGAAACTACCCAAATGCCCATCAACTGAGGAATGGATAAAAGAG